GGACCGATATTCTTCCAGTACGGTCCCGAGCAAGCTTGGTTAATAAGAGATTTATTACACGACTGAAGTTCAAAGGGACACAAGTGCGGTATCATTCGGGACCATTCGGGACAGTGCCCAGTCCAATACTGAGAGAATATTGACCGGCAATAGAGCATTTTGATTGGTTGATTTTAGTTATTGGCCCTCTGACTTCTCGAGTCGTGTAATAAAAAGCAGTATCAACAGAGGCACTCGATCTGGTGGATTCTAAAACATGTTTTAAATGAATAGCAACGTACATAGGATTAGCAGGGAAATACGACAGCTCCTGCTTGCGCAAGGCGAATTCCTCCCACTTCCTGAAGGCTCTGTCATACATGTTTACCGTCCCAGGAGCTCTCGCTAACAAAATGGTCGTCTGGAGCCTGGAGCTAAGGGACTGTAAATCTGGATCCTTAAACGAAGTATCTTTCCAGAGGCCCTCTTGGAAAATCTCTATACAGAAAAAAGAAAACACAAAACAAAGGAGAAATCAGAAGCAAAAAGATAACTTTATTGTGAGTACTAAAGTAACTAACAAATCTGAAAATAATGCTGCCTCCCATTTAATACAATTCCGAGGAACTCTTGCAAATAATAACAAACAAATAATGCGGGCAAACGTGAATTCAGACCGTGGAGTAACAAAAGACTCCGACTAACTGTGTACAAAAGATGCTAGCCGTTGCGACATATAGAGCAACAGCCACTGTCATGAGTGCAAAATCCTTCTTGATTTCTCCTCTCAGGCAACTTGAAACTAACACGCAGTGCGACAACTGCAAAAGACAACTCTCTTGCACCAAACATGTCATTCTTAGCTTTACCTCTCACAAAGAGTTGCTTAAATTTGGGCAGCACAACCCAATCATGAACAAACCAGTTCCAGTGTCTTCCATCCTTACACAGTAATACCCAAAAATACGAAGACTTCCACATAGAAATAACAAGTGTACCCTCTGCATTACACAACTTTAAATGATCAACCACTCTCGCAATTTGCGAAACTGGAGGGAGTAACCAATTGTTTTCAAACTCCCAGTCTTGTAAAAAAGCATCCACAGCCTCAGTACCTGGCTGGTAAAATCTGGAATTGAAGCGGGAAAGCTTAGCATTATAACTACATGCGAATCTGTCAATGGTATGCGGTCCCCGTGCATCGAACATCCAAAGTTTGGAAAACATCATCATTAATTGTATAATCATCAATATCAATAATCCTACTTAAATGGTCAGCAAAAGAATTAAAATCCCTGGGAATCCTCTTCATCTCGAGTGAAATTCCAAAACTAACGCAAACGTGAAAAATTCGAACCGCTAAACCCTGAAGCTCTGTAACCTTACTGCCAGAATGAACGATGCTAACAACATTTGTGTTATCGGTAAACCATGCAACCTGCTTACCTAAAAGACTAGGAGCAAAACTGATCAAAGCTAACTCGATCTACAGCTTTAAGCTCCCTCCATGTGGAGCTGTTATTGCTTTCAATTGTAGACCAATTTTGTTGAAAAATTTTGCCTTCACTATGAATGAAGGATCCACAAACGTAATCAGAAGTATCCGAGTAAACTAATTTAGCTGGCTGAGACAAAGGCAGCCAAGGACAACGGCGAATAAGAGAGTCGACATTCTGACTCCAAAATATTAATTCGTTACAAGCTTTCTTCGTCAATTCCACAGTAGAATTCCACGACACTTTGGTATTTACAGCAGCACATAATGATCTAGTCAGGATTCTTGTCACACTGCCCACACAAGGCGTTAATGATATATTATTACACGACTCGGGCAGTCAGAGGGCCAATAACTAAATCAACCAATCAAAATGCTCTATTTGCTGTCCAACATTCTCTAAGTATTGGACCGGGCACTGTCCCGAATGGTCCCGAATGATACCGCACTTGTGTCCCTTTGAACTTCAGTCGTATAATAAATCTCATATTAACCAAGGTTGCTCGGGACCGTAATGGAAGAATATCGGCCCTCGGTCTTTTTTGTACGGACCTCGCTGCGCTCGGTCCGTACTGTCAAGACCTCGGGCCGATATTCTCCCAGTACGGCCCTCGCGCTTGGTTAATAAGATATATATCTGGCCTACAACAGTTGCCAAATTTCTCACATTCACAATCATAGAGTCTCCCTTGAGGACAGAATCAATATTCGCCTTCAACTTTGAAATTCTCTGTTCGGTAGCAGAAATAAAACCTTGATTACTGTCCAAGACAGTACCTAGCCAGGCAATAATCTGCACTGGCTCCCATATGAACTTCTCTTCATTAATAACAAAGCCAAATTTTAACGAATCAGTTCGTAACAGGCGCTCAGTACGTTTTTTTAATTAGATTTGGTATAAAATGTCCACAAAATCTATACGAAATGCCATACTCCTCTTATCGAAAAAAACCGAGTGTTCTCACCTTATGGGAAAACTTTCTGACAGTTATTACCCAACTTTTATTTTGAAAGAGCTGCATTCATTGCGTAAAACAATGGAAAATCGGTAGTTTAGGGGAAACCATATTTTTCGAATACGGATACAGGCCGACGAAAAAACTTTTGTTCATAGGTTTGTACGTGTGAGTGTGTTTCTGGCTCGATTCGGGAGAATAGCAATTGATTTTATTGAAATTTTTGTCTCCCGCCGTCGGTAAAAGTTTGACCTCTACAACTGAAAAAAAGGCAGATGTATGATTTATTCACGATATGATTGAAAATATTCACTTTATTAAACCTGCGGCACTTCTAGTATTCATAATATCGTTGGAGATGTTTTCACATTCTCTTAATAACACGTGACAGTGATATGATCTGTTGTGAAATCAATTTTAGAGAATTTTGTATTTATGAAAAAGATAAAAAAGAGAGGGAGAGAGATATATATCCTCGTCCTTTACGCTCATACAAAATCATTTAAAAATCATTTACCTAAATCATTTACCTAAATCATTTAGGTAAATGAAAACTTCCTATCTAATCTGTGCAATGTATCGTTGTTCATTTATTGCCCAAAACCGTGCGGCCGCAGATAAGTACTACTAATCACCTTATTTCCAATCAACTACTTTTAGTCCAAACGCTCTCGGTTGGATTCAACCTCATCTATTTTTAGCCTCAATTTCGATGTAATTGATCTCATAAAGTTGTAAATTTTGCAAGGGTTGGGGTAAGAAACATTAAGTACGAGGTCAGGCTTCTCACGGGACGAGTTATGGTCCCTTCCACCGTGCTCAGCAGTTCAGTGAAAAGTCAGTCCTTACCAATCTATATCCATAGTACCAGGTGTTTGTTATCCAATCCAAAACAAACAAATAGGCAAGTTTGAAGCCCTCGACACTTTCAATACCGAAAATTGTACATTGAGCTTTCGAAGAGATTTCAAAGTTATTTCTCGATAGTTTGGGTCAAGGCACGATATGAAAGGAAGAGCTTATTTCTTCAATTCAGTAAACAAACATTTCATTCAAATAGGAATTAGGTACAAATTAAAATCAAACATGGATGAGTGCTACCTTTATTAAGTTCAAATGGGAAAGTCTAACAATAACTGCTTTTATGATATTTTCGTTGCATATTCTGCTCCGCTTTTCAAGCTGCGTCTTAATACAAACCTAGGCTTCTTTTCAGTATCAACCAAAAGTCACAAGAGAGTTTTAATTGATCAATGCCTTTGCTATATGCTCGCTCCTGGTGGGTCGAGTAAAAAAAAAATTCGGTCATTAACAATATCTGAAAAGAACTTACACACGGAAGATCTGTCATGAAAAGAGCTGTAAATTTAAAAGGAAATGGGGTGTATTTCTCATTAGTATATCTAAGAAGGCCAAACACCGCCAGGAAGGAAAAAAGGACAAAAGCTGTTCGGCTTAATGAAAATTGCCAGATAATGTTTAGCAGTAATTGTTAACGTGGACGGTCTGTAAATTAAAAATCTTTTATATTTACTCGGTTAATTGATGGAAATTATCTCAGATTATTCAATGTTTTTGGATTGGTAATTGCTCCACACTATAATCGCTCCTGAAATTACTTTTTTTTATCATTTACATGGTTCTGCTTGCAGCTGTTAAGTTCATTGTTGACTCAGTATATTAAAGCTTCAATCGCAAAAAGGGAACTGGCAGATTTCCTCGATTGCAACTGGAAACCACAAGATTTTACCGGCTGAGGTCATTTCTGCAACAATCACCCTTGTCATGAAACAAGTTTTTCCTCTCTTATTTTCCTTCTTCTTTTGCGAAATCTCCGATGGTGAGTAATCTACTTTTTTCTTTTTCAGGACTCCGACATAAATTTCTTCCTGAGGGTGAATAATAATACACGGTGAAGTTGATTTTACGAGCAGATGGCCCAACATGACATTAATTTTCGACATTCATATTACTGACCCCTACGATCATTTCTGGGACAAGGACTTTAATTCCAAACTATTGTCACTTTAAAATGATTTAACCCGTCGAGGAGTTCCGCTCTTTACAGATGCAACTCAATAGTTCAGTTTATCCAAACATACAGGGGTTACGGTAACTTTTTCATAGTCTCGAGGACATGCCGCATAACTGTTGTATATCATGTCACAGAAAATTCAGTTGCCGACACAATCAATGCCACAATCTTAAAATGGCACCGCTTACAAAATTTCGGCAGTAATTGGGTGTAATACCGGTACCACTGCTTTCCTGTATTTTTTAACAAAATAAGGCTCGATGGACGGGTCTGTTAGAAAATTTTATACATAGATTAATACTTTTCTTAGGAGTCGTAAAACCAGTGGGATGCTGTTGGCAAACCACCGGCACTATTTCTACTGAACAGATGCAAGATCTTTTCCCTTTTTGAAGTTTAAACGAATGGTTCCTTTTGAAAAAAGATAAGAAAAAAAAACATGATAGAGCCCAGATCAAATATCTGAAATACTCAGATCAAACCCGTTCATCTCGTCCAGTCAGTTTCCAAAACAAACCATCCAGAAAACTGGAGCATGGTTGTACTCGATTTAATGTTGTCAGGTAACCGTTAATACCTGGCCTAAGTTTTCATATTCTAAGACATTTTTGACTTAGATCGACTTATCTTTCATGCACAAAAGATAACCCTTTTAACGTTTCGCCGTTTTCAATTCCAGGATACAGATCTTGTGGTAAAAGATTTTCTGATCTAAGGAGTGACAGTGCGAGCCTATTTCGTCGCATCGTGGGAGGTACCCAGAGTGCACAGGGCGCATGGCCCTGGCAAGTTGCTTTGCTCTTCAATCAGTCACAGTTCTGTGGAGGCTCCCTCATCTCTCCTCACTGGGTCGTATCGGCTACTCATTGTTTCCACGGTAAGTAAACTCCTGCGCATGAGGTATTTTTGTGCTCTCTAAGATAAGAGTTACTTTATTATTGGAGGTTTGAATATGTACTTTCCTTCCTTAGCCGAAAGTCATCCATAATTGCATTGGTTTTGCTTTACTTTGCTTTGTTACTGGTCCAGAAAAACTCAGGCCATTCTCTCAACCAATCAGATGCCAAACTAAAACTAATTGCGACTTGCTGACTCACGTTTTCCCGCGCTTTAGACAGATTTCTCATTTTACAGTTCGTTCTCATCGGTATTTTCCTTTCCTTCGATTGGTCGTTGTGATCACTTTGGTTTTACTTCTACGACACTCCATCGAAAAATGCTTTAATAGCTATTGTGAAATATGGACTCTCAGAGACATCAAAACGGCGAAGCCCGTCACGCAAGTAAAAAAAAATTGGAACAATGGTATTAAGGCTTACTTTTCGTGTTCCTCACTCCACAGTTGTGTATGCGCAATACAAAAATGTTGTCAGCGCGCAGCTGACAACATTTTCTTTTTCCATCTACTTTCTTTTACAACTCGCGTGAGAAACTTAGTCGAAAATCAGGGGCTGCTCGTATTGTTGGTGATGTCGGACCTGTAACTGTTTCACCATTCTCTGATTTGATTTTCTCTCAAACCTTTCCCCATTAGATTCATATACCTCTACAAAGCCATCAGACTGGAAAGCGGTCCTAGGTGAACATCATTTGGTTGACAAAGAAGTATTTGAGCAGAGCAGGGACATTGAAGCGATTTATCTTCATCCAAAATACAAGTCAATGTTCCTTGAAGGAATTTACGATACGCCACCCGATTATGATGTGGGTGAGTGACATAAGACTTAAGGCTCCCATACACTCTTAAGAACCGGAAATAAGGACGGGGGGGGGTCAGGGAATTTTGGTCGTGTCATATTAAAACTTTCCTTACACCCCTTAGGTTCTGTAGCGGTCTAATGACCCCCTCATCGACAGTTCATTTTTATAGTCGTCCCTTTATACTCCATTTGCGACAGCTTATTAACCCCTTCCGTTCACTCTGAAAACTATGTGATCCTCACAGAAACAACTGAGTTATTTTTGTTTCATATTAGTTGTTTGTTTGTTTTTACTCGGGCAGCCCTACTTCGTCTGTCAGAGCCTGCCATCTATGACCACTTCGTTTCTCCGATTTGCCTCCTTCGTCCGACGATGAAATTCCCCTGGGGAAAAGAATGTTATGTGACTGGTTGGGGCCACACCCAATGGAATAGCGCACAACCTGACATTCTGCGCGAGGCCAAGGTACGCCTGGTCCCACCGAAAATTTGCAATAGCGCCAAATCCTACAATGGAACCGTTCATAGCAGGGCTCTTTGCGCTGGATTCGAGAAAGGAGGTGTCGATGCTTGTCAGTACGACAGTGGAGGTCCTCTAGCATGCAAGCACCGCGGGCGCTTTTATCTTACAGGAATAGTTTCCTGGGGTCATGAATGCGCACGGCCGCACAAATATGGTGTGTACGCTAACATGTTTATAGTCACCAAGTGGGTGGAGGAAGTGATAGGCAATTATGGCTTCGTAGAGATCTAGATTGTTTCATGATCTTAAGATCCAAATTACTCCCGTAACGATGAAAAATTCTCCGAAAACTTATTTTAATCAAATCTGGCAGGAATCACCGTACCTTTACTCCTATATCAGCATTTTTTTAACTCAGTTATTTTTTCGATTTGCTTCATTAATCTTTTGTATAATTATGCTTAAAAGGAACATTTAAGACGAATGACCTGTTATCACCTTGTCATGGAAAAAAGTATCAGTTTCTTCAACGCTGATCGACTGTCTTAGCGTTAATTTATTTTTTCCCCTTCCGTAAGAATTATTCATCAACCATTGATTAAGTTTTATGGATTTTTACCAATGACGTTTGCTAGCGGTGGTTAGCTAAAATAAAAAGACACAGGCTGACACAACTGGCTTTCAATGACTTAGCTACTAGGGTTTTTTATTGATTCATGAAGAAATAAATGTTGATACCATAATCAACTTCATCATTATCCTTCAAATACCCCCCTCTCCGCGCGCCACATGACGGAATATTCCCGGGCAGAAACTGGGGAATACCCAGCACAAGCAGTAATCTATTAGCTTTCCATCCCAAATCCTGCAATCGAACTGCCCTCGCTACTCGCTCTCTATTCCGTGATAGACAGTGAGTCACAGACAGTGAGCGAATTGCCATACGCCCGGCGGTTACACAAAAACATGACCCTGCTTCGCCCTCATAAACAGTCACACGAAAGAATTTCGAGCTCATAATCTATTTGTTTATCAAGAAGTTACGATGGCGGAGTTACCAGTTATATTGCTTACGGTCGACGAGGGCTCCCACCGAATGTCTGCGAAGGATGGCGCGCATTGTCGAACACTAAGTACCAAAAGAGCAAATTCCGGCGTCCTGTTAGTGCTAAAACATTTATTGGCAATCATAAACCTCACAATATAAAAGTCTTTTCATTAAAAAATGCTAATTAACTAACAATGAAAGCGATGTCAGAAATATTTGTTCATTTGGCAAACACATTCCCTGAAAGAGATGGTATAATATTTAATAGATATTTTTTTTCACGTACGAAATCGACAACTGAAAGTCTGTTTTGAAACGATCAGTGCGTTCAAAATACTTGTACTGCTAATGCTTATATTAGAATCTTTTGCAGAGTCCTAAAATTCTCAGAAACAAAGGAGAATCATATGAAATATCTGCTACACGTAACATTAGCGATTTTCTACAAATTTCAATCAAAACACATCAAATTTCAATCCATATTTCAGGGATTGCTAAGCAACATAGATGCACTTCGTACAATTTTATTCAATGGTGTTATCCAATTCTGCGGGTTGAGTTTAAATTGGTTACATTCATTTAGCTAAGTGTTGTTTGAGCCGATAAAATGCACCTTTAAATTAAAAATAAAAAAAATAAAAAAATAACGATCTGTCTTAACAGGCACAAACCGCGTGGCCGTCGATCTTCCGTTAACCCCCAACCTCGTTCCCAGGGCTTTTTGAATATTTTGGCGCCAAAATATTCAAAAAGCCCTGGGAATGAGGTTGGTTAACCCTCAACGCGTTTCACAAAGATTTCGCTCCAAAAGTGCCTCTTCGCCCGAGTTCTCCGAGTGGTTTTTCTCGCACGAACGCCGCACGAAAAATGGGATGAACTAACAGCTTAAACTTTAAGAATAACTAGTGACTGCCAAGCAATTACTATTCAAGTTCCCGCTCAAGGGGAAAGAAAGTATCACAGTCTCTGCAAATCGCACGACGAATTATCGTAACATCCGACGACTTTTTTTTAAGTATGTAGCAGATGCAAGTTCAAGTGTTCGCCTTTTTTTTTACAAGTTTTGTTCAATTCCATTTTCATCCTGTTGTTTTCTTTAACTATCGATACCTGGTTGTATGGACAGCTGTTTACTTGAATGAAAAATTACAAAATTGAGTTTTCACAAAGGACGACGAGTTGAAAACTCACCGACTTTCTAGATCTAATTAATAACATCTATGTCAGGGATGGCAAAATTATATAACTAAATTATCTAAGCATATAAATCATAAAGAGACGTGATGTAAAGACTTTTCTCTAGTTCGTCTTCAGTGGTGTCTTGCCAACTGTAGAATATCACCTGAATTTGAAGACAGTGCAGCAATTGTAAGATCTGTACCACCAAAATAGTCTTGTTTGTTAGTTTGACCGTTTTTTTTTCCCCTCACACTTTTTTCGCGTTTTCTCTACGCTATCATTCAACCTCGTTCCCAGGAATAAAGAATAAAAACGTTCTGGATGCGTAAGTGCGCTGGATGATTCAATAGCAAGTAAAATAAGATTTATTCAAGTTCATACCGTCTTGGAAGGTTTGCATGGATAAATGCAAACCTCGTTCCCAGGAATAAAGAATAAAAACGTACTGGATGCGTAAGTGCGCTGGATAATTCAATAGCAAGTAAAATAAGATTTATTCAAGTTCATACCGTCTTGGAAGGTTCGATCAGAAGAAAACCGTTATTTGAGAAGCGTCCACGGACATCTTCGGCTACAAGCCACACATAACAAGCGGGAGACTGGGCCTCAATATACACACTATACTCTCCTTTTTTGGGCGTTCGCGCAACTTTTACGATCTGCCAAAAAATTAACAACAAAAATTAAAAGAATAAAAGTTTGATACTCTTTTTGGGGGCTGCGCTGTTTATCACATTGATTTTTTAAAAATAAATTATTAATAATTTATAATTCGTAAAAACTTGATTATCTATAAACATTCATCGTTTACCTTCAATCTTGGATCGCTCATACCCAGTGCTTCCGACAGACTCGTCGGATAAAAGACGTTTGTCGGTCCCAGATCTTCGCCTGTGCTTGCGTCCATAGGTTTCACAGTAAAGACGCAATGTCGAGCACTTTTACATTTGCTGGAGTGTAAGAGAGTATCCACTTTATCTTCATAAACCAATTTCTATGAACAACCAGCACGGATATGTAAGTCAGACCAGGCTGCCTCCTGAGGCTAACCCACAACTGTTCAGTTCAGCGGTCAAACGTAGGGCATGCGCGAAGGGATCAACTTTAGGCGCCCGCGCGCCAATTTCCCGCGCAAAAATTCTAAGGGAAACATAAGAAACAACCACTGAGTCGAAAAATAAGCGAAAGAAAATTGAAACGTTCATTGAAATCTGCAAGTAGGGAAAACAGGGAAAAGGAAACTCGCGACTCCTTGAGCACAACGCTTATTCAAGTACGGGTATCCTGATGATTTACCATTCTGTTTTGAGCTTTACCAAAAAAGTCATACGCTCTTAAACACCGTGATTTTCTGGTTTGTGTGATTGTTTGTAACTTGTGTGAGACAACTTGCTTCTAACAGCCTGAAAGCACGCCACTGACGCCACCTACTTGTTACAGCGTTCGCACATGCGCAAACGTTTGACTGCCACGTTCAACTATTCTCTTTCACCAAACACCACAAGAATGGAAACAGCCAACCGAACTTACCGAAGTTTGTTGATCAATGTTAAATGCGACCTCTTTGACGTACAGTGGTGTGAAGGAAGACCATGACCACGCCTTCAGAGACACAGCACCTTGCGAGATTGGCTGAAACCACAGAAGGCATCGACTAAAACTTCACAATTCAACAGCAATAAAGAGACACTTCAAACAGATCCCTGTGGAGGATAGAAAAACTTGAACGACCCGATCCAAATCACATGACCTTTAACCCAACACGCATGAATATCGACTTTTTTTGGTACCGAGCAAATACTGTTTAAAAGTTAGGACGGTCATTCAAACGGCAGCAAACAAGATTTTGGATGCTCATTTGCGATTCCATTAATTGGGTTGCAGTATTTCAATCAGAGAACGTCACAATTGGCCCAGATTTCTCTTGGGATTGACTGAGTGCAAAACTACACAGGTGTTCTTTACACATATTAAGATACTGTGACGACAAAACATTTGCGCATTTTTACCTTCATAAGGTCGGATACTACATAGAGCCTGAACTTGCCACCCTCCTGGTATGGCGACGCCATAACTGGCGCAAAGAAATCTTTCACAAAGTAATGAAGCATCTATAAACAACAACAAAAAACATATTGGGTATTTTATCGAAACGAGGTCTTATCTGAGCCGCGATAAAAACTTCGAAAATTCCTCATATATGTTTTTATTAATAATTAGATCCTTCTATAAGCCCTTTTCACAGTTTCGCAGAAAGTTGACGTTTAGTTGATATATTTTCTTGATTCAAGACTGTATAGAGCGCGGTTTGGATGGACAAAGGTTAATTCTTGTTTAAACAACCGGCCCATAGGCTTTAACCCTTTTACAACCTATGGGGAAACCGCACAGCTGCTCAGTTATAACTTAAGCCTGTATGGTTCCAATCTTAAAATTTCCGTTGATATCAAAATGACTAGCGGTGCGCACACGACGACAGTCATGGATAATGGTGAAAATGAAAGTGCATGATGTTTGTTGTACCTTCCAACGACCTCCATATTCCAGAGATGACCAAGTGGGAGCCTGCCAAATACTGTTCAACCTGAAACCGTCAATAGAAAGTAAAAAATTAGTTGTTGGTGAAGTCTCTTTACCATGCCGACTTCAGATGTTTTCTTACAACAAGAAATAATAAACAAAGGTAGGCTAAAGGGAAGACAAACTGCCTTATCCCCCCCCCCACAATAAGATATTACTCATCCTATTCACCTAGCCGCTTGCAAAGCAAGAAACCTTGCGGTTTGGATGACAGCATAAAACAACCCACCCGCAAAATTTATCTTTTACAGGCAGTGCGAAACAATGCAGATTCATCACGTTCCTATTCATACAGCGTTAGTGTTTTAAAATGTTCCCCGAAAAAAGGAGAAAAAAAACAAGAGAGAGAGAGAGAAACAAAAGGAAGTCTTCATGTTATTTGCCGTCATTGGGTATCACCCAAAATTAAAGCTAAAAAAAAAGCGCATTTCCTTTGATTTTAGCAACATTGCTTCTAGTGAAATTATTTCAATAGTTAGGGGGGCAGGGTTGGCGTAGTGGTGAGAGCGCTCGCCTTCCACCAATGTGTCCTGGGTTCGATTCCCGAACCCGGCGTCATGAGTGGATTGAGTTTGTTGGTTCTCTACTCTGCTCCGAGAGGTTTTTCTCCGGGTACTCCGGTTTTCCCCTCTCCTCAAAAACTAACATCATTTGAATTTATCTAATTTAGAGTTTATTTGCATTTACACACGACCCCACAAGCTGTTCAGCTTTAAACATTATCGTGTCTAAATAAAGGTGTTATCATTATTATTATTATTGTAACTTTGGCCACGTGTCTTAGGAAAAGCCATTTTGTACATAAGTATTCTCATCGTGTCAAATTTTTTTACGTTGTGGATCTTCTACAAAAAACAGTTGACTTAAAATTAATGTCTCTTACATTCTTTTCTATCAACTTTTAATTCAAAAAGGCGATCAAATTAATAAAGCAATCACTTACTGCCAATATATTGTGCCCATTGTTCTTCCTTCACCCTGATGAGAAAATCAAAGGGCCAATTATCCAAACAAAGTTCCGTCAAATAACATAACTGCGATTCAAACCCACCTTCACTAATTCACTCTGTAAACGTCTGTAATGTTCAGTCTCTGTCTTCATGCACTGAGCTTGAGCCACCTTGAAAAAAAAAATGCAAAAGTAACCAGTGTGTCATTTATTATGAGGGATTAGGTGAGGGTGAGTGTGTCACGTCATTTTTTCTCATTTCCACCCGTTTCACGGTGCCCGTCACATAATGCTATTCTTGAAGAATAGAGGGATGTAGAGCAAAGTTAATTGACAGTTGTATGAGACACGTGGTGGATTAGCGGTAATAGTGCTGGACGCTGAGGCAAGAGGTTTGGGTTCGAGCTCTGCCCGAGTCAAGGCGTTGAGTTCCTGGAGAAAAGACCTTATTCTTACTGTCCTTCTCCATCCAGGATTGTGAGGACTAGCGAACTGTCAGTAAAACCAAACGACATTTCTTGGCGTAGAGGGGGGGGGGGGGGGGACTTAGACGATATAGACATAATCTCGGTCGATTCACGCAACAAAACGGGGTTAGTACTTCACAATTATGCCCCCTCCTGACCCCAAAGACTAAACCCCAGGGGCGCGTGCGCCAACGATAGCTTTCGATAAAAATTATGTAAACTGACTATGTCCAATGGCAAGAAATGGGATTATTTTACCTGGATAATAAAAAGAGTGTCCAAAAATCTTTTCAAAGGCTCTGTTGAGTTGGGAAGTTTATAATGCTTCTTAGCTTGGCTCAACATCTGCTCATTACCTGAAACAAAACATAAAATTAAATCATAATAGCAATCACGATAATGATTATGATAATGCTAGCGCGTTTATGTCGTACACACGTCCATTAACTTAACTTCTCATAAAACTTCACAAAAACTTCGTGTTTTGTGACGAACGACAAGAGTCAGAGGAAAGCCTCTTCACGGAAAGATACAAACCGTCTGCATGATGTTGCCTATGATCCATGAACGAACTATTGTAGGCCCAGTCCTCTTCCACTGACACCTGCGCTAGAGTCTCAAAAGACGGGTAGGACTGGAAACCATACTCAGATGCAAAACGGGGCTTAGGGTAGCCGCTGACATTCCAACAGTCCATCTCGTAGTCGTAGAAGTGCACTGAAACAAAACGGTTACGTAACTAATGATTGTTCGTTTGGTAAGTAAGAAAAAAATCCAAAAAGGAAAAACCACTGCATCACAACAACATGAGCTTGCGAGACAATCAGAGATCCAAATGACAAGTCATTCAGCTTTTAATAAAATCGCGTAAGGCTGGAGAATAGTTTTTGATTGGCTTTCAAGCCCAGCCCCTAACATTTCAAAAAGTTGTTCTAAGTTGACAAATGTCACTTTCAAATATAAACTGCGCACTTTAAAAAGGTATTTGTGAAAAAATTTAATTGAAATACTTACGAGCCAGAAACTCATAAATAAAAGACACAAATAGCGCAAAACATCAGGTGTCGCCCATAAAGAGAACATTCGGTCTGACGAAGGGCTAACGCTCAAAACGTCAGATTTTAAACCCATTATGGTGACTAATTTACGTTATCAACTCAGTTGATAAAACCAAATGACCTTGTTACCCCCACCGACACAACACCACAGTTTCTTTAGAAACTTACCCCCTTTATTCATAAACACAACCTGGCATTTGTCAAAAACATGTTTTACGAGTTTCAATAAAAAATACTTACCATCTCCCCAATAGGGGCTCCCTGGATTCTTCGCCACCCATCCCTCCTTCTCGGTATCTACTCCATTCGAAGGAGACGATGAGAGAAAAGGTCGGCTCTTGTCTTCGTTTTCCAGCGTCTCCATAATAGTATCTATATACAACTATTAAGAAAGTATCTTTGGTCAGCTTGACGGCTTTCTCAAGTCACACCTCCCCTCCCTACAGGAGACGATAAGTGACACCTGATCTCTTGTATGCACAACAAAAAATAGACACGGAATTTATACGTTGACAATGGTCTTTTGCTTAGCACAACACAGAGGGCTATATATGCCCTTGGGAAGTTTAAGGCATGCAAAATACGCCTAATAATAAAACAGCAACTTTGGGTTCTTGATTGCTCCCTTCACCTCCCATGCGCATGATGATACACAGCTAACGGCAAAAACGAATTATTTCATAACATACCGGCGACTAATTGGATAAATCTGGATAACACGCATGTTCGGTTTCGTTGTCATTGCCCTTTCTTGCTAGTTAAAAAGATCAATACCAAAAGAAAATTTGAACGGTCTTCCCTAGACTTTTCCCATCGTTGTGCATACTATTCAGATACGATTCAACATGCACACGAGCCATGTTTAGCAAATCATTAAACAATAATATTTTCGTGTTTAAAACGGTTTTTTTTTTTTACTCAATAGTTTGATTGAATAACTACTTTCGCATGTCCTAAATAACATTTGTTGAAAATTAGCTGCCTGAGCCGGAAATATGTATAAGAAAGGGGGAGAATATTAGTCATTACCTGAGTCAAATACCCCAAGGTTACCTTTAAGCCCTCTACTGAGTACCTCTCTCCCTTCCCCCCTCCCCCCTCCCCCCATCCCGTTAGAGGGGTTGGTAAAAGTAAGTTCTTCTAAGTGCTTATAAGATAGGTACTCTCAAAAGTTACACTACGATCGTCACTCATACTTCACATCATAATTTACCGTAGATACCAGATAACTTTTTGTAGAACACTTATGTGTGGTCATTTGCACCCAACCCACAGACACCAAAAACTTACCTTCCTATAATCATTGGAGTACCTCGTGAACGAGGAGCTGGTGTTGTACCTATTTAAGTGAAGACAACAAAAAATTTTGACTGCCAAGATATCTGAAGTTGGTATTAAATAGTCTTAGTGTCTTTTAATTTCATTTAAAGACATCATCCATATCCTCCGTAAAAAGATTAAAAAGAATCGCAAATGTTTCAGGTTATTCAGGCGTTAAAGAAATCGGCATTTTTCCGATGATGTGTTAACGATTCCTTTATCAAAGAAGAAACCAAAGAAAACCAAAGCTAAAAACTCGTTGACCAATCACAGTGAACTGAAAACACGATATCCAATGAAAATAATGTAAAGCAAATACACGTGACCTGCGTAAGGCGCGGAAAGACTTGTAAGAAAAACAAGAGTCGACGACGAATTAGAGTAAACCTACACAACACAACGACCGATGAGAATGCAAACGAAAGATAAATGACCGAGGTGTAGCGCAGAAAACCGTGACCTCTTGACACCAAAACCACTTGACATCTTGATCTGTATCCGACATGTCCAATTTTTGATGCTATGTTTATACACAAACTTCTAAGATCGTCACAAAACACAACAAACAAAATCAATCATTTCACGATAAAAATGACTTAATTAAATCCATGACCCAATCAAAGCTAATATAGAGCTTACCAGTTGTCGGCCAGAGCTGCTTCATTTTCATTGTTACCACTCCATAGTATAACGGACGGATGGTGCTGAAGCCGACGCACCTTAAAAAACATAAACGTACTAATGTTTTATGAACTTTTCAAAATTTGATAATCCGACAATCGTCCGTTCAGTCGAGTTTACATTTGTTCGTAATATTTTTCGGCTATGTTATCAGAAAAAAAATTTTTGCTTTTGACGCAGGATAAAACTCTAGAGATTGAGCGAGAAGGCATAACGTGGTTTAAACAAAATCAATTAAAAAGAAAAGTTTTTTTCACCCTGTTGCATTGGCAACCGGTGCGTTTTTTTTTTCCGTTCATTTTAAAACAATCCCCTTATCGGTGGTGGTACATCCCCTTCCCGAACAAAAATTCTCTCTCCCTTCCTTGAATGCCCCCTTCTCTCCATATATAACTCTGGGCTTCTGGAAACCCCTTAGCAAGTTATCTTCAGCCTAAGGCTTACAGCTTGGATTCTGCGAGATTGGAGGAGACTACATTATGCCTAAGCTGGAGAAATTACCTGATATTGTACTTCTTCTTTGACTGACTTCAAGAAATCTTTATCAACCGGGTACATAGCACAGGCAAACATAAATTCTTCCCATATAAGTAATCTAAACAGTAATGAAAAAAATATATTATGTTTTTTAATCAAAGTCTGCTGGGTAAATGATAAGTGCTGTGTGAAAAGAGGAAGATGACGAATAACGACAGTCTCTAATATAATAATAATAATAATAATGATGATGATATACTCAATTTATAATATATATTGCTCATTGCAAGCCTCTAAGCAATTAGCGCTCTAGAAATCTAGACTGCCGCTTTTTGTTTTGCTTTACTTTGCTTTGTCCAGAAAACTCGCGCCACTCTCTCAACCAATCAGAAGCAAAACTAATCACGACTTGGTCGGCCGTGTTTTCCCGCGCTTTAGGCAGTTTGGTTGATTTGTCTCTGAGTTCTCATTTGTTTTTAAGGCTATCTTCCCTTCTCATCCCTTCCTCTGACTCGCCGATAGGACTAATTTGGTTTTGGTTTTACGACACTCAAATAAAAACCGCTCAATCTGGTTGATTACACGTTTACTTTTATTTACTAATTCAATACCCTAATTCGTCCGCTATGTCGTAAAATTCATCTTTTTGATAGACTCCTCCTCCCCAGTTCCTCACGACGTTCATGTTCGCATCAGCTGCAGACTTGAGAAGATTCCAAAGAACTGAGCTCGTCACACGGTCCTCAAAGGCATCTGGAAAGAAAATGAGATAAGGTCGGCTTTACACCGTCTATTTTCAAAGAAAACAATTTTTAGTGTAGAGAAAGTTTACAGAATCGCCAGAAAAGTGGATTCCATCGCATGCCACACCCTTTCCCTCAGTTACTTAATTCTGTTATTCCCCTTTGTATTGACACATAACAGTCTCTGTTTTACATAAAAGATTGCGCGTCGACCCTTAACAGCCTAACATCAGCGTCCATGTTCTCCATACTCTATACATTTCCTTTGATACTGACAAAGGGAGTTTGTTTAACAATCAGAGTTTTTCAGGTTGGCAATCATTTCGTTTAACTTCATGATCTTTTTAATTTAGCAGTTTTATTGTTATGAGGAATTAAATCCTGCTCACTCTAATGGTTAAAGAGTAATGTCTACTTTTCATTTGTCAATGATAATATATAAAAAATAGTGGAATCAACGTCCAATTTTGCACTTCTTAAGTCAAATCTAGGTCACTAATTAGTGGATTAAAGGTTTGTTTTAATTTGCTCTGTTGTGGCTAATATTGTGAACATGGTATCACATCCCAGCATGGCATGGCAGGTCAATGAATGCCAGAGTTTTTCTTACTCAGTCCCACACATGCTAAAATGTGGTTAGTTTTTATTTTTTGCAACACAGAAACTGCCAATATACACTCTACAGGTATCAAAAATTTGTCAGCGGGTAAAACTACAATAGCTCATAATTTTATGCTAAGTGAGAGACATTGGTTGACAGGTCGAAATTGACACGAGATGGGAGGTGTCATTTCACAGGCATAAGAATCACACCCAAGGCACAAGAGTTAAGGGGGGAGGGTGTTATGTAAAATTGTGCTGCTGTTTAAGATTACTGACGACTGATACATTATTCTTACATTAATTTTGAAATTTTTTAGTTGCATACCTGCAGGAATCCAGTTTGCTCCTTTAAGAAATATTGGTAAATCATTGATCTCAAAGTGAAATCCCCGTCCTGAAACAGACAGAACACAGCTACTAGTGAATCCAATGAAATTTAAGTTATGCAAAGAAAAGTGTGATTGAAGTGTGATTCTTGGAGTCACACTTTTTCACACCAATGAAAATAACACTCAGTGTGATTGTACAGAGGATTGTTGAAATCATAAGATATACTCAGCAGTGCACAGAAGAATGGCAATCATGGGAGATTTTAAAGGTAAACATTATACATAACCATGCGGTTGCAAAAGAAATAAGCTTTCATGTGACTCAATTAAAATTTAGGAATAGTAGTAGTTGACTTAAAATAACAAAGATTATGTAATGTACGTTGAAGTAATGTGAAGAGAAATGTATAATTAAAATTGCCTCTTCATTTTCATTTCTGATTTACTAACCTGGAGCACAAGCAATTGGTTCCTGTACAAGTTTCACTTTCCTGAAACCAATGTTACGACTAATACTTGATTGTTCATCACCAGAGGAGCTCAAAAACACAACCTGTTCAACGTTAATGATCATTCCTGACTTCAAGCTGCCTGGTAATCAATTTCAGTATCTGAGTGACTAGACACCCACCCCTCCCCTAACAAAAAAAGTTAACCCCACCTTGTTATCTGTTCACTGTTGTTGGGTCATGGGGTGGGGGTGGGTGGGTGCTCAATTGCTCAGATATTGGGATTGGTCCAAAACTTCTATGCAGCAGTTGTCCATGTGACACCACCCGCATTGAATGACCCAGTTGACTTGATTATCTTCACGAGTTTGATCAGGTTGACCTGAGAAATGCACAGTTTTTCCATGCCTCCAAGCAAGAAAATGCATGAATGTTAAGAGACCATAACATACTTCACTCATGTTTTCTCACCTTGTACTGAAGCTGATCTCAAGTGCAGGGAAGGGAGGGGGGGTGCAACAGTTGCTTTGTTGTTCCTCAAAGCCAACCAATTTGAGTAAATTTGATATTTTGTTAACTAGCTACAAGTAGGTAGCCAGCAAATTACAGGCTGGTAGAGTTACCTGCTGTGTGAAAGACAGGGTGGCCTTATTATGGTTAGGGTGGTGGATGTCCGAGTTTGAGACTTGGCCAGGTCATTGTGTTGCTGGACTAAAAAACTTAACTTTCAAACTTGGTCTACCTCTCCAGCTGGGAGTGGTTATCAGCAAGGGAAGCCTAATGACATGCTGGGGGGGTAGCCTTATGATTGAGTGGCTTACCCTCCTGGGGAGGGAGCTTCATGCTATGGAAACCATGATAAGCTCTAGCTGAATGGGTCACTAGGCATGAGAAAACACTCTCCCTTAGATCTACCTGCTGCCGGCTGCTGCTACTGAAACCATTCTATGTGTATTTAGCCAAAATCAATGATTCTGATCTGTCCTCCTTCACCCCCTCAGCTCTCACTCTGCCCATGAATCCCATCCCTTATCATGCTTCAACTTGCCGACAATCTGCGCATTAAGCATACACATCTTATTTTATTTTTTTGAAGGTTAAGTACCTTAACTGTGTAGAGATTTGGTTTGCCATATCCTTGAGGCCACCAAGGCTTAATGTCATCTTTTTCTGTAAACAGCATCTCTGGGAAAGAAATTTTATGGATACCATGTGACAGTTTGATGACCAGCTTCTGAGAGCGTGACAGCTGAGGAAGGCTGAAGATTATTGTACCTGTCACACCATCCTCAGCAGAATCCATAAAAAGTGTCATGGACAACTCCCACGTGATATTAGTTGAACCTGAAAGGGAGTGCATCATGAAAGCAAGAAAAATATTTTTTTTTTAAATCAAAGTGTGGCACTTCCTTCAGATTCAAATGTTTGAAGGATTATTACTTATCAAATAAATATATCTAAATTCTGTCAGAATAACCTTTTTTAGGTGTTACTGTGATGTCCCTTATAACAGCTGAGTTGTAAGCTTGCAGAGATACATTTCTCCTGCAGAGTAAATAAGATGAGGATGAGTGAAAAAAATTACTTTAATTATAAGTACCAGTAACCCAAAAAAGTTGTTAGAAGGGCGTGGCTCTTCCTACATTTTACAGTACAGGCACAGTATCATAGATAGAAACACATGACAACTACAGATCGCAAATGATTATTATTATTATTATTACTGTAAACACTAAGAGACAAGCCCCACTCACAGATAAGCTGTACCCTGAGTTTGGCAACTCAAATTTTGAAAAAAAGATTTTTGAAAAGAAATCATATGTGGAGTCTTGAAAATATTGCTTTATATTGTTTGCTTCACTGAACATGAATGCTGGTAAACTTACTAGCACTGAAAACAGAGAATACTTTATTCCTTATGTATAATTTTAGCTGTAAGAGAATGGATAACATAGCTAACAACTTAAACTACTATTTGATCTTTCTCTGGTATTATTCAACGAACACTTATTTCATTCCTATGAGATTTTCAATTAAATGTTACATAAAACAACAGAAAATCATGACTTTGTTGGTTGAGGTTGGGTTGTTCATAGCTTAGTACATGTAGCAGGCACTTGATCAGGGGAGGGGGTACTGGAAACAAACTCTGAAAATGAAAAGCAATCCCTAAAAGGCTCCTAACCCTTTAACACCTACGATTGATACACATGTAACTTCTCCTTATAATATCCATACATTATCCAGCAAAATAGTAATGAGAATATTCAAACTTATCAAGTAGATATATCTTATTAGACGTTTTATTGTGTAGTATCACTGAGTATTTTTACAAGTTGTGCTGTATTTTGACGAGCCCATAGGGCGAGTCAAAATATAAACAACGTGTAAAGATACTCAGCAATACTACCCAACAAAACGTCTAATAAGAGATTTATTATCCAACATGCCAAATTGTTATTTCAGTGCAGGCAAATTTCGCGGATATTTCTGGAGTACAAATATCACGTGATATTTGTACTTGTCTCGTGCGTTATTTGTACTCTACGAAGCAAAGTTGGATAAAAAAAGTTGTTATCCTGATTTAATACCAAACTTTCATAACTGATTTACAAGGAAATGTGTAGCAACAAGAGGGGAGAATTAACAATTAGATCTTGGGAGTTGACAGGTTAAGGGGTGTAAGATTGAGAATTGAATCTGACTGTTTAGTTTTTTTCTCTCTGTAACTCCTTGGTAATTTGGCAATTTTAACTTCTAAAAAAAGGATCATCAATCTCATCATTGCTGCATGGTATTCCCTTACCCCCTTGCAAAGAAAAGAACTACCAACTAAGTTATTCACATATCTTAATTTTAAATAGAAGAAAAAAAAAATCACCAAATCCCTTGAGGAACAAAGGCTGGTCCCCAGTCCTAAAAAAGGAACAGGAGCAAATCATAGTTGATTTCAATAACACATGCAGGACAGTAGGAGTTCACCAGGTACCCAAGTCAAGTCTAACATACATCCCTTTACAGCCAATTGCAATTCAAATGTTCAATCCAAAACTTCTGATATCTTTGTCATTATCAGAGTCATTAATGTGCACAAATTCAAAGGTGACTCAGTTTTTGAGGTTTTAAGATTATGGTAACTAGATTGGAACTCCCATAATAATTAAAAGCTGCTTCATAAGCCAGCATACTTTCATTGAGATATAAAGCACACCCAAACTTTGGAGAATCACTGCACTGACTGAGTCCTTAAAATAGATTATTTGTATTTCATAATTACTTAATATCATAAATGTATTGGCTATGTTATGATGAAAATAAAATCTATTGATAACTTGACTTATAACAATGGCTTACCCAACTAAATGAACACTGTTCTTTTCTGATAAAGTTTCCATGGCACTCACCACGCTGAACTGGGACTGGACATTCAGGGGGTACACGATATGGATACACTTTGGCTTGCCCTTTAGCATAGAGCACTGCAGAAGTGAAGCGCACTTCAATCTTGTTCAAACCAGTTTTTAGAGCCTCCTTAATATTGAAGATGTATCTGTGGAACATGTTTGTTGAGTGGCCAACTTCAATATTATTAACCAGAACTGCAGCAACTGTGTCCAGGCCCTCGAAAACCAACAGAATGTTCCCTTTTGATGTGACATCTTCAGAAACTGGGAGCAAAAAGATCATCATAGGAAGATAAGAACACATTGCATGAAAGGTTAAGAATACGTTAAAGTAAACAGCCAATCTATTTTGTACGAAGAATTTTTAATACAATAAATTCTTTGCAACAGCACATTTCATGGTCTCCCAAATCCAATATGTGCCAATTTTGAAAATGCACTTTTAAGAATTTTCAAAATCTATCTTGACTGAGGAGCAAGAAACATTTAACAAAGTTTTAATCTGAATTGAAAAAGCTTGGTGTACATGCTTGCTTTAAACTATAAATTTTAAGTACAAAAAGGAAAAAAGGATAGAAAATCCAGCTGATTTACCAACTGAAGGTTTTACTTTTTACAAAAGAACACATATAAGCAATTTCACATTTACTAAACCACCTATCCTAGTTCAAGCCCCTAGATGGGTCATGTCTTTGTATTAATGGGCAAGACACTTAACTTTCAAAGGGACTGTCCATCCTGGAGTACAAATGGATACTTGGGGACTGTCAAACTTGAAAAAAAAACTGGTAGAACCAGGATTGGACTAGCATGTACACTTGGTCACTTCTGATGGGGCAAGCCCTGACCAGATAGGCCACTACCCTCCTAAGGTCCCTAGTCTTCTGAAAAGATTACTAAATCTAGCTCTAAAACAAATCTCTAAAAAACAAATTTGGTGAAATTTAAAAAAAAAGTGAAATCTAGAAACAAAACATTCAGGAATAGCTGCTGGATTATTATTCAAACGCAGCAATGTTTTTGTAATATCTAAGATTTTGGATGGATGGGGTCCATTTAGGAAACACCCCTGACTTTGTGCCACAAGAGGCTAGGATCATAGTTAGATGAAAGAGGGGGGGAAGGGGGGGGAAAGGTGATTCAAAATCAAACATCTCAAGAACTTGAATTTTGAAATCTTTGGCATTGAGTTTAATTCGGTGTATTATGGCTACAAAGTCGAAAGCATACGACTATTACGGACTGTTTACTACTCTAAGCTGAAGCAACATTCCCCGGGGTATATACAAGAGCCAGTCGAAAGGTCTGCTGGTGCTCAAATTTTGACAGATAAGTTCTCTGTGTTTAGCAATGTTAACGACATTCACAACGACAAGTACCGGTAAGTCAAATAAAATGAAAGAAAAGAACTTTATTCAAACCTTCCAACGACCTTGTGTACGTCCAATTATCATACGCTATCCAGCGATACTTAACATCATTAAACCGGAAGTACGGATCCGAAATTTGTCCATTCCTGTACAAAGCTGTGTGAACATTTCCGGGAACAATTCCGGGCACAGAAATACTGTTATTTGCATTCGAAACAATCCAGGTGCCTCCGAGATTGACTTCTACAATGCCACAATGTATCAGGATGACATTATAGAGCATTATTGTTATTCTAAATACGATCACTTTTCCTTTGACTATGATCGCCATTTTGATTGCTTCAATAAATATTTCACTGACAGGCGACTGGTGAGGACTGGTCACGGGTCGAGCACTGACGAGTCACGGCATATTACAGCATACAATGTAGTCAGCGGTTCCAGTAGAAGAATATATTATCGCGGCGGGAAAAGTGAAGCCTCATGCATATGTGATGGCGACCAAACAGGCAAAGAAGAGGAATAAAATCCAAATTTGCAAAATCCCACAGATTATTGGATCGTTTTACGCTAAGCATTTTGTGTTGATTCGCTATATACGTGAGGTCCAACAAGATAAAGCTCTCAAGCTCATCCAAGATGGCGATCCTGACGAGTATCGACTTCTTCTGAAAACGACTTTGATCGCGGTTCCGCGGGATCAGCCAGTCACGCCGCCATTTAAGCCAAGTAAAACACAATGGTTTACCCTTAAGGAAATAACTGTTAGAGTTATTGAACACTTTTGCCGTGGGAACAAGACAAATGTTTTAGCATACGGCTTTGAGTCGTTGACTGGATATGGAAAGAAGGGAATAGTGGCTGGGACGGTTGGAATCCAGAACAGCTATCCCAACACTGTTGTAAGTTATTTGCGAACAGCGAGAGCCTGGAAGCTGCTTCACGAGCGTATAGGAGACGACTTGATGATCCATTTGTTACAAAATTTGTCCATATTTGCCAAGGTGAACTCGTGTTATTTCCAAGTCGCTGGTTATCCCATAACGCGATTGAGTAGAATGACATCAGCAGATGTGTTCACTCCACTTCCCGTAAAAAAAGCAGAAGAAACAGTAGAAGATAGAGGTACTTTGAATGCGATATTAAATCGAAAATCGAGAAGAGGTGGCAAGCGAGCTCGGAGATATCGTGAAAATGTCAGAGCCAAAGTAAACTGCTCTGAATTAGCTGATGCAATTTCAACTACGGATCACCCGCCTGTATTCTCAAGAGCTCCTGTCCAAATGAACGCAAACAGTAGCAGTGTTGTTACTCATCTCGCTGAAGTACCCCAGAGCAGTGGAAAACGAAAGCGTGACAGTTTGGACAGCGATGATGTTTCAAGAGATAATCCAAATCCATCTAAAAAGCAGTCAAGCACAAATTCTAACGTCCTCAAAAGTACCTCGCCCTTGTTGTCGGAAGACGGTCTGATCAATGTTGAAATTACAGCAAAGTCATTCTTGGAGAGTGCGACAGCTGTTACAGTTGCTGATGCAGATCAGGCTAAAGTTGGGAAAGAATTTTCCGATGTAGTAATGTCAAATACCACTGACCTTGTAGATTCATCTGAAACTCAGGGTAGCGTTATCAGCAAAACCTCTCGAGAACAACCAAAGGAGCCGAGATTGAAGTATCAGGGTGGTCTGGTTTTCCCACAGCCTGTCGGTGTTGAGGAACAAACACATGTTCAAACTTTGAAAAGAAAGAAATCTGTTTCTATTGCAGTGAGGGTCGAGAACGAGAAGAATGAAGCGACGGGTGGAAGTAAACCGTGGAAATATCTGATCAAGTTTCTTCCCAAGTCTACTTGACGAAGTGAACTTGCAGGGAAAGGAAAACAAAAGGGGACTGCTCAGAGTAACAGCCAGCTTAAAGAGGCAAGTAAACAGCAGATCGATGACAGCAGAGGAAGCTCAAGTTTGAAGAAAAACAGAAAGAGTATCTGTTTGAACGAGATGTTAATACCTCGCTCAAAAATGTTTTATACCTCGAATCTTTCCCAAACGTTCCCAAAGAACCATATTGTGGAGTCATTACCTGTGAGTATGGCTGGAGCGCGCAAGCTGGCTCAACATATTTTTCTGCAAGGTACGTTTTTAGGCGCCTGTGGCGATCGGGGAGGGATGAAGAAAGATGAAAGAAAAGAGCCAAATGTCAACATCGTGAATCAGGCAGCTGTTGAAAAACCTGATGGGTCTAATACTCTGAAGCTTACCCCACGGAGGAAACAGAAGCCTTTTCGTCTGCCAAAGAGGCTGAAGACTATAGTGCCAATGTTACACAAGTTCCTGGCAAGGCACCACAAGTGTCCATTCAGAACCTTGGTAAAGCTGTATTGCCGTTACGATTTTGGAAGACCGGTGATCAAAAGTGGAAAAAAGAAAAGGATGCTGGAAAGAATTCCTTTTGGTGTAAAGATGGTTTATCACAAGCTATGTCTAAAGAGTCGGGCGAAGTCTACTCAAAGGAAGCGTCGCGCCCAGAGAAAAGTAAAGGTTGACGTAGTGAGGTATCGTCGAGCTGTTAGTATGTTTACAGAACATCATCAGGTAGATTTTACACTATGAAAGTCTGAACTTGCTTTACGTTATTAGGCAGGACACGATGGGTGACAAGTCACAGCGACTGTTGTGCGCAGAGATCCGCCCCGTGTTTACTGCTCTGTAACGAGAGGGTGTAGGTCCAGGCGACAAATCGCTGCATGCGGAAAGACGAATTTCGTGAAAATCTTAGTCCATGCAACAGAATGTTGGTACGAATTCAAATCAGTTTTGAATTCGTGCGAGGTATCATTTTGACAAAATCTGCTGCAGAGATTTCATAAATATTCTTTTATCGCACGAGATGATGTGTCAATGCAGCTTTCATCCACTGTGACACGGCCAAGCCCCCTGTATCAGAAATTTTGTGACATTTAAATATCTGGATGTTCGCAATGTTTTGAATAAATTTTCAAATTTGATAGGTTCGACAGGAAGAGCAACGTGTCGGGACTTAAATACGACGCGAAAATTATCCGATAGTATTCCACTGCGTTGAGAGAAACGCCTCGACGGAATTTCGTGTTATGTTACTAAAGTTTCTTTGCTAAGAAACTTTTCCCTCGGTGTATAATAATGCAGTGAGAACTTAGCTCGAAAAATGATAAATCTCCATTCCTCGACGACCAACTCTGAATCTCATGATTTATTTGTTTCAGGTGGTTGGCTTCCTGAAGGGTATATGTAAGAAAGTAGTTCCAAAAGAAATTTGGGGGTCTCCAGGAAACAAAGAAACATTCTTTCGAAATCTGGGGAAGTTCATCCGCCTCTATCGAGCGGAAAAGTTCTCTCTTGCTCAGATGATGTCAGGAATCAAGGTTTCTAGCTGCAAGTGGCTTCAATTGAGGAAGAGCGGAAGTGGAAAGCGCGTTGCATTGTCTGACTCTGTGAAGCAGTTGGAACTTTTAGCGCAGTTCATGTGGTGGTTGGTGAACAGTTATCTTATGACTGTGCTGAAAACCTTCTTCTACATCACAGAGACTGGCATTCACCGTCAGAGGGTTTTTTATTATAGAAAGCCTATCTGGGAAACGATCCAACAGTTTAGTCTTCGTACATTTTGTGATGAATTCTTCAAGCCGTTGAAAACCGCAACAGCAGAGAACCTACTTCGCGCGCAAAATTCACTGGGGTTCTCTCTGCTTAGGTTTTTGCCGAAGACGTCAACTGTCCGCCCTATTACCAACATGCGTCACTGTCCTACAAGCAAGGAGCTGTCAGTGAATTCAAAACTGAAGAATTTGTTTGAAGTTGTTAAGTTCGAGAAAGAGCGCAACCCAGAAAAGATGGGCACTACATTGTTTGGGACTGATGATCTTTACCGGGCACTAAAGCCGTTTTCCACTCGCTCACGCACTCGTTTGGAGGGGAAACCGCTGTACTTTGTACACGTTGACGTAAGCCATTGCTACGAGTCTATCCTCCATCAGAAACTTTTTGACATCATGAAGGAAGTGCTGGAGGAGGAGGAATACCTCATTCGACGGTTTGCTTTGTTGCGCATGTCTGGTGGAAAGGTATACAGGTGAGGAAGGTGTAGATCCACATTTCACGAATTTCCCCCCACCCCAATCGATTATGACTAATTCTTCACCTGGCTGTCTTTATGTATAAGTGCTTTAAGGGGGCCAGGAATAAACTGATACCGGTGAATACCGTAGACAATCTTATAATGATTTAAAAAAAAAGATACTTTGTGAGTGTCGTTTGTTTACAAGCACGATTGGAATCTATTTTTTTTAGTTTAAAATTATGTATTGTTCACCCAACACCGCATACAGTAAACCTCGACAAAGCTTTGAGATTTAGTGCATGTGATAGTGATAAGATCGGCTCTTAACCTGCGGAGTTCCTAAGGGTTTATTCTAGGAATTTGGCAAAGAGGGCCCTTTTTTATATTAATTTTTGGGACCTTTTTCAAGAAAGGAGGCCTATGGAATGGAGTGTCCTTAAAGGTTTTTTGAACTTATTCATATGTAATCAAAGAGAAAACGAAAAGTAGATGGGCAATGGAAACAGTGAGAGGTTATAAAGTTCGAAGTGAGTTTTATCTACGACTTGTTACATCAATCTTGTTGTCAGTTATGCTTTCGAGTACTTCATTTCGAAAAACAGAAACTTGCAATACTACTTATCCTTGGGCGCAATTATTTGCTCCCCGTTTGACGCTTAGATTAGTTTTATGCTTGTTTTCAAACTTTGGAAATCCTGATTTTTTTTCAGGCCTTATTTCCACTACTACAGAAGTATGGTTCATTACTCCGCGGAACGCTTTCATACATTTTATGAAACCGCAGTATCAATCAATCAATCAATCAATCTTTATTTAGCCACGGAATCCTTATCACTAATAAGTGGTCTTCAAAAGAGCCGTGCACATTAAACTAAGACTTAAAAATTAACCTATAATAAATACTTAGATAGAAGAATCTTAATGTACAATGTATTAACCTATAATAAAATCCTAGACAGAAGAAACTTAATGTACAATAGCGGAATAAAAACATTTCAAAGTTGTGGCCAGCTAATATAAGCCTCAGCTGACAGGCTGTTCCATGTTACTGCGCCCCTATAACTAAAGCTTTTCTTTAGGGCCTCAGTGTTCGGTCGCGGAATAAAGAGTACACGTATATGATTTTCATATATTCAAATTCATCGTTCGGAAACCCCGTAAAGCCGCGCTTTGGGGTAAACCCTGGTTCCTCAAGGTAGTCATGAAGCCAAGCGCATCCTCTCAAACTCTGACCCCTAAGGGTCACAAGAGTCTAATTTTTCTTTAAAATATCACATTTGAATAAACATTAAGGTCATTAACAATAAAGGAGATGATCACCAACTAAAGAAGCTCTTGATTGTTCTACAAATTCTCCTTTTCAGCATTTTAGGAGATGTATCGAGAACTGTGTGGAGAATATGCATTCTGATTTTAGGGCGGAGAGGGTTAATAGGAACGTTAGTATTTCTTGCTGAACAACGTGGAGTCGCGTTTTCACTTTCAGAATAAATAAATATTAGACAGTCTCCAGTAGCGATGTGCTTAAAATTGCTGTCTTTAAAATTGCAGAGAGTTTTCTAAGGACGTCAGTACCGCAGATGATTGCCGTCTGTTCCCAGATTTCTTTCGCTCACTTGTGGTCGAGTGGAAACTGAGGCAAGTGGTCGTTGTGGATAACGTTTGGTATGCAACAGAGGACCGCGACAAGTTGATTAAATTATTGGAAGAACATATATTTAATAACTTCGTCAAGATTGGTAACAAATATTACCAGCAGAAGAGGGGTAGGTGAATTATGCGGGGGGTAACAAATATTACCAGCAGAAGAGGGGTAGGTGAATTATGCGGGGGTAACAAATATTACCAGCAGAGGGGGGTAGGTGAATTATGCGGGGGTAATCTTCTGATCTAATAATATCTTTTTTAGGAACCCTAGAATTAAGAATGACTGTGAGATTATCCAAGAAGGGAACAGTGTGCCCACGTGCACAAGTGTTGAGGTCACTGTATTGTGTTTGGGTATCAGCGCCTTCGAGTTAAAAAACGGTCATCATCATGTTCTGTCGCATTTTGCAACAATCGTCACACTTTGTAATACCTTTCGCACTTTGTGGTAAAATTGTCGCACTCCGAAAAAGCTGTCGTTCTATGCAATAACAGAAAACAAAAATATTACAAAGAGCGACAACTGTTATTACAAGGCACGACAGCTTACAATTATGAAGTGCGATGGTCTGAAATTACCGCAAGATGCGACAGCTATTTTTGTCAACTGTCATTATAAAGTATTACATAGTGCAACAGAACACATAATAGTTAGCTGGCGCAGGCGCAGTGGCTTAATGGTTCGCCCGCTGAGATCCAAATCAGCGAGGCAACCATGTCCGAGCGGTGGCCGGGTCATTCACGAATGTGTTGTGTTCTTGACCAAGGTTCTTTACTCTCAGTGCCTCTGATCAGGGCGGAGGAAGGGAGAGGGCCCTGGAAGGTCCAAGATGCCCATGAACCCCCCTCTCTTTGTTAGATACTTTTCTTGTTAAGAGGTAGAGCAATGCTGTAAGCCAGGTCACGTAAGATGCGCGGAAATCATGCAGCCCTATTGATTTGGTAACAAACAGCAAAAGGTCTCAAAACCATTCGCTTCTCCGTAAATGTTACCAGCATCACTTTGAATTCTTACCTTATATGATTTTCTCCTTCATGTAGGAATCGCACAAGGTTCCATCCTATCCACAATGCTTTGCGGTTACTATTATAGTCAGATGGAGAGGACCCACCTGTCTGAAATAGCCCAGGATACAGACTCCCTCCTGCTAAGATGGGTGGACGACTTTCTGTTTGTCACTCCACACCGTCGGCTGGCTGACAAGTTCCTGAATACAATGCGTGCTGGTATTCCTGAGTATGGGTGTGTCATTAATCATGACAAAACGCTGACCAACTATACTGCAGTCACAGCTGATGGCCACAAGGTGACAAGGATTGGAGTGAGCGATCGTTTTCCTTGGTGCGGCTTTCTTTTGGATACAGTCACACTTGAAGTTTCACCGGACTTGTCCCGGTATACAGGTAAGTTTTAGTGGAAGATTCATTGTTCTCTTAATCCCTTTTCCTTTATGTGAAGTGAAGTTGATTTAACAAAGAGAGAAGCCTTGACTGTGGTCTGTTCTGTTGTAAACCGAGCATAGGGAGAAACAAGAGACGTAGTGGAGTATTTCTCCCCACTTCTCGAGTGCTCTAGCCGCTCCCAAAGTGCTTTACAAGAGAACAGAGTACAGTCAAGGCTTCTCTATTTGTTTTGTCAAAGTGTTATTTTGAGCTTAATATGTTATGGTTTTGGCGAACGCTAAGCAAAACCGGACAATGTATCATACACATTTTGGTTCTCGTCAATATCTCTATCACTGTCACTGTTCAGGGCTCGAAGCTAACTTGTTGGTCCACCTACAAAATTTTGCGAGTCAGATTTTTTTTCCATTGGCAAACTGGTGAGAGCACTAGCAAATTCTTAAATTAGAAATTTCAATGACCATATCTGATATAAAGATTATGATTCATATTTCGCACAGTCTTTCAATGAGCTGAAAAGTTTAATAAAAAAAGGTATGAAGTATTTGGTCTCCTATCTCGTTGTCCTGACAGCTACCGCCTATCTAATCGCAAACATTTGCTAGTGGATCTTTTTCTCATTCGCAGATTCTCAAAGTCACTCGCACTTTGCGAGTTTGCGAGCGTTAATTTCGAGTTCTGCTGTTACCATCTCAATCATTATCATAATTGTAATTATTATTATTATTATTATTACTTTGATTATCGTTATTGTCATAATAATTGTCTGGTCAGTGACAAGGATGATGTTTATTATTGGATCTACTCGCCCTCCGACCATCTATATCAAGTTTATTACAAAGTGCGACAGCTTAACTTATCAGAAACTGCGATGGTGTGATATTAAAAAGCGCGACAGCCTTTTTATTACAAACTGCGACATTTTTTTTATAACAAAGTGAGGCGATTCGTAGTATTAAAAAGTGCGACAGAACACCTTGCTCCGACAGTACCAGCTGTTTATTTACCCTAATAACCTCTTAGCTTGTAATCAAAATGAGCTTTAACAACAAAGACAGGAAAATACAACACTTGAAAAAAAAAGTTTGAAAGCCGAGGAACGAAGTTAAACTGAAAATTGAAAAAGGCAAAAATTTATTGAGTGTGGCGGGTAAACATATTTACTGCACTAAACTGCAACTTGCTTTCCTAGGGTCCCTCTTAAGGGACTCGTTGACTGTGTCCCTGGATGCACATCCTGGTGAAGCCCTTAGTAAGAAGCTCCGGTACTCCGTACGCCCAAAGTGCCATCCATTGCTCCTGGACCCAAATATGAACACGCGCGAGAACACCCTGTTGAACGTGTTCCATGTGTTCCTGTTAACAGCGTACAAGTTCCACACTTACGTCAAAGAGCTACCACGAGGTGAATTCTTAGCCTTTTTATTTTCAGAAAATTTTAACGAATCGTAGAACGCGCGCTGATTGGTTTCGGAGAAAAGATTTTGTCGCCTTTAATTTAGCTAATAAAACCTTTTTTTCTTCGGGGTACTGTTTGGGGAAACCTTATTCCTTTCATTCCAAGGACTGATCAATAAATAATTTCTCGTAGCTTTATTAACGCAATGTCGAGCAATAAGGTGACGCGAAGAAACAAACAGATCAATTTTTTGATATCACTTGATTGAAAACTAAATTCACAGAGCTACAATTATATGAAATGTTTGTTAGACAGCGAGGAGAAAATATTTTGAGACCTTGAGAGTGAAATAGTCATGACTTCTGTAATCTTTCGTTTTGCGGGGCCTGAATTCTCTGCAGTTGCAGATGCCATCAAGCAACAAGCGCAATTAATTAAACTAGTTTTCTTTCAAAAGGATGTTGTAAATGAAAGGTAGGCAGGAAATATGTTTTTAATTGTTATTGGTATTTGCGGGAAAGAAAATTCTAAATGGACCACAGAGGTAAGTGGGACTTAATTTGGCGCACAATTCTGACTTTGAGTGAACAAAGCAGGTCTCCGGAAAATTTTGACGATCAATACTCGAATATTACCTCAGGCTGTTATACAAATAAAGAGATGGGTTGCTTTCACAGAGTGATTAAATAGGAACAAAATTAAAATTAAATTCGATTTTCAGGCAGCAATAATCATTTCTTTGCAATAACGACGCGAGTAAATTCAATGTACTCTCGTTGTTGTTAGAGGGGTGTTGTCTAGACACCGTGTATTATAACGTTAGGACCGTCGAGAATGAAAATTTTATGGGGATTAGGTGTGAAAAAGTACACTTCTTTCACCAATGGAAAGTTCGTTTTTTCTTGCAGATTGTCACAATATTCTAAATATTGATTTGATTGCACTTTGTAAATCAATTGATTCAATTTTGAGATGTGATTATTATTATCGACACCTGTGTCCTTGACAGTAAATGTATATTGCCTCAATAACGTGAAGAGGAAGTCCTTATGTGGAGCTTATCCTCTTTTGTAGCCTGATATCTCGAATTCAATTCGTCCCCGATTAAAATGCGTTAGTTAGATTGCAGGCGTTAGCTTAAAACCCGTGACATAAACATGACTGCCTTCCAATTTAGAAGTTAGAAAAAAAAAAAAAACGCAGCTCCCAGAAATCTGTCTGCAAGTTGAAGTTAACTTGGCTGTGTATCCAGCATTTGGCTTGCTCGGATATCAAACTGACGGAGGAACCAGATGCGCTGAGTCATTGAGTCCGATGTTGATGTTGAGTTTGATGATGATGCATTTTCCATCACAGAAAATTGAGACCGTCATTTACTGATGATGGACAACTGAAAAGTTGCTAATGGCTTCACTGTTCTTATACATCTAAAATCAATCAAACCCACTTAATTTGCCAAAACTGTTTTCTCCATTGATGCGAAATTTTCCTTTTTTTTTAAGGACGGTTGGAAAAACTGCAAGTTGTTATTATGTTTTAAGAGCAAAAACTCTCTCGCGTTTTATCCTATTGTTTATAGTTTCCTTCTTTTTTTTTTTGCCTCTTTGTCTGGACAAAATGAGTTACACCAACCCATCAGCAGTTGGTGAATAATTATGAAACATTTTGCTTGATGTTCGGAAAAATTATCTTTCTACGTTTATCTTTTTTGTGAAAGAAAATGTTCGAATTTCCCTCTGTCGATTCGACCATGTGTTTGTTTTCCATTTTCCTGTTGGGAAGTGAAGACGGCCCTCTGGTGACTTGCATCCGTGAGATATTCGTCATAAATTAAACTGAATTATTTGGAAGTGTTGTAACAGTATGCCTGAGGTTGCCGAGAATAAAGTGGGTTTTGCAGATACGAACACTATGTCGATTTTTTTTCAAGCGGTTATTAAAAGTACCTTCGCCAAAGAATGGATTTTAAAAGAAAAAGTGTTCCCTGTGTTTTGGTAGAATTGCGGTCGCATAAACTGAATGTTCGTTGAATATTTGTCACAAAAGACGTTCTATTAATTATCCACAATGGCTTTTAAATCGAGAGAGAAACTTGAGAAACAGCATATGGGTGATAAAAACAAATTTGTATTTATGCGGCTGGGCACAGAAAGACAAAATATTATTCAAGAGTTCTTTGACGCAAATTTCTTTCTAAAGCGATAACGAACGTCAAAGTAACAGCTTCCGGAACTCTATATGGTTACCAACATTACGATGAGCGAGATCTCAGAGGCTTTAGTACCCTTCAGATATTGGGTCTGATCTTAATTGTGAATGGCTTTCACTCACGGTAATAAGACAAGACAGAAACCTATTCTTGTGGTTCCTTGACCGGACAAATATCTCCCTTATGGTCAATTATGTGAGTACGTTTCCGTTTTCAGGTTTAAGTTGTTTTCACAGCTTAAAGCAGGGAAGCAAGGAACTCATTCTTATTGTTTCTTTAAATAAAAAGTTTAGAAAATTGATGTCGGGATATTTGACCTTATAATATTTCCGATGTTCACTTTGGGGTACTTCCCCTCAAAATTTTAAACTATAAATAGTGCAGTGATTAAAATTCCGGGCACAGGCAGCCCAAGCTCACTACAAGAAAAGCGGACGTGAATCTTACCGTGTTGCGCAACGTTTTATATTTATAAAGGTTTGTATGGGATGTTATCGGTTTGCCTTAAAAGAGAGAAAAAAATGTCTTGTTTTGAAATAAAATGGGCCTACCTTATTGCTTTGTTGTTTTCTTTGTTGATTCCGAGCGTCTCAGGCCATTTTGAAGCGTTTTCGGCGGGTTAGCGCTATGTTGGTGTTCAAGTGCTAAAAGAAAGAAGTTAGCAGTTGAACACCAACATAGCGCTAACTCGCCGAAAACGCTTCAAAATGGCCTGAGACGCTCGGAATAAACAAAGAAAACAACAAAGCAATAAGGTAAGCCCATTTTGTTTCAAAACAAGACATTTTTTTCTCTCTTTTAAGGCAAACCGATAACATCCCATACAAACCTTTCTAAATATAAAACGTTGCGCAACACGTTAAGAGTTACGTCCGCTTTTCTAGTAGTGAGCTTGGGCTGCCTGTGTTCCGAGGTGTCTATTTTTGTACGGCCAGTTTCAGATTTTTCTAATCAAGGACTGTTTATTAGAGATATGGCGACCTCGTTATATTTGATTAAATTCATCTAGTTCAAACAAAGTTGACGTTTCTTTTCTAATGCACTTTAATTTCCGTTTGTAATGAAAACTCGTTCTTTCAAAAAAGAAAACTTGATGCGTGGAAATACAATGTTGTTGAAAAGGTGGAGGAGATAATTCTTTGATTCTTCGCGATTATTTAGCCCGATAGGTGTAACTAAAGAGCATTTAAAATTTCATCTTGAGTCTCTAATAAGTGTAGTATGTGGTAAAAGGGGTTTCCATAAGGTATCCATAAATATAAGTTGAGTCAGTTCGGCATTTTAGTTCCGTTCTATTGTTACAGGTAGCAAACCAAAGGATAACCCATCTTTTTTTGCCCGAATGATTCTGGATTTGGCGCAGTATTTCTACTCAACCAGTGCTCGTAAGTGCCTCCAGCTGTCTCCAAATGAAAGTGCGTTCTCATTGGACGAGCACGAAGTCACGTGGCTTTGTTTGTACGCCTTTCAGATGTGTCTTCGCAGAACGCAGTCTCGATATCGCGAAATTCTGACATTTCTGAGGAAAAGCTTGTCACAGATACATTTGTCTGATCGGATTAAACTGCCAACCACTCCTTGGAATGCAGCTTTGACTAAGCTCGTGCGAATGAAGAAGAGGTCTCACAGTGCTCTTCTCGAGGAATCTTGCCAGTGAAATTCAAGAGAGAACAAAAAGTCATGGAGGATCTTAAAATGTCTGAGGCTTTCAGGAACGATGTTTTATTATATATTTGCCTGGACGCTGTGGGGCGTGTACATGATTTAGAATCTGTCATGCATCAGTGACCAATCCAATTTGTAAACCTAACACAATGAAAAGAAGCCAAAGGGGATTTCTTAAATTTTGTGATAATTCTCTCCGCGTGGTTTTAGCGTCGCGTTTCTGTTTTTCATGAAATACGGCAACAAAGAAACGTTATTAGTTTTTCATTCAGAACATGAAAAATTACCACTGCTGGTTTTTAAATTCTTAGTTTTTCGCCGCAAATTTATCAGCATTTTTGTTGAAACCCTGAAAGTTTTTACGAAGATTTTCAGCTGTGTCTCGTGATTTTCAGTTGCGAATGGTAATTGTATCTACCGTGGTGCAAGATGATCCGTTCGTTCGGCTGTCATTCTCCCTGCATGTGGCATTTTACTGTTTCCTTTGAGGGATTTTACATCTGCCCTTGTCAGTTTGTTTGCTGTATATATTCACTTTCGGTGACATTTGAAGTACTTTTAGTGCTGATTATTTGAGGAAATAATTAGTCAGGCCTACCTTTTTAATCATTAGTGTAAAAGGTAGCTGTCTTTCCACTGTCTTTCTTGGCGAGTCATCCATAATTTACTGAGGCCTGTCAGAAATTAGCAACGATAAGGATTTATTTCTTCCTCAAAAGCAGCACTAAGTTCACGGGCTAAATTAAAATGAGTCTCTGGTTTGTAACTACAATTGTTTTCTTTTTTCGTTAAGTTGCCGTATGGTAAAAGCTTAATCTTGTCTCAGGATGGATTAAGTTCTTGGATATCCTATTCATGAATGAAACTGTCACAAAATTACCTTTTTTCCGTGCAGTACAATAATGAAATTATTAAAGATGTTCGCTATCCTTCTGAATCAGGGCCAAATTTTTTTCTTTTGACAACGCAAGTCAAAGCTTTTATGTCTAGACAATTACTTCGATCTAAATCTTTTCTTTTTCATTGCCAACATTATATTGTTCTAAGCCAGTTAGGAACTTAGCTATATTTAGCTTTCAATTCGCCATTACTGTCTTTAATATCAATACCTTTGCAGTGGATTATTCTAATGCTCAATTTAATTTATCAACCCGTTTTGATCTTGAGACATTACCGTCCTTCGCCTTTGTTTCTTTCAGTTTCGATGTTCTGAAATTTTTCATCGGGGTTGAGTAGCCGGCTTGCGTGATGGTTCACGACAGTAAGTTACTATCTCGCACACTGCGATGGGGCACTAAAATATGTCAACCGCTAAAGCCATTACGGTTTTATCTTTGAGGTCATTTTTTCTTTATTTTGTTCACGTAATTCTGTGTCCGCCAATATTTTTCATTAGATTTTTAAAAAGGATGAATCTAAAGCTAGGCAAATCCGGTTCGTGTGTAAAGATCATTGTGCCAAATAAACTATCTTTGGTTTTGTGTGATCGTTCATCCAATTACGTCAAGAAAGTATGCACGTATTTGTTTCATTCAAGGACTGAATTGACAGCAAGAATTCACCGATTGCGTGAAAGGTTTTTGCGAAAAATCCGAATTAAATTTATACATTTTGTCTAATAGTGCCTGATTTTAGCTGAAGCAACTGGGGACTTCAATAAAACCAGACCAACCCCTCTCCCGTCTCCCCCGCCCTTACAAGCCTCATCCCAGGAGACCTAGACTGACCAATCAGAATTCGACGTGTATGGGTGTCATGTGAGAACCAACTGACGTCATCATGAGTCACTCATGGGATCAACACGGGGAGTTTTAATATCATCATACTCAAAGAAATCAATCATAATACATAAAATGTCGACTTAAATCATCAAGATATTTGATAACCGCTTAATAAGCTCCGTAACGGAGTGAAAATGAGATTTGTACATTTTACTCATTGTTTTCTTGAATTGTTTAAAAGGTGCCTCCTGTTGGAGATTTTCTTATCTGACAAAACAATATTTTCAATGTTTTCTGCATTACAACAACAATTTTGTAACCCTTCCTTCAGTGCCAAGTCAATATCCTAAATATCGCATCAGTTGGAAAAATCAGTATCTAATTGTGAGTCATGACTGGGTTGCATAACAGTGATGGAGAGCTAGTTCACAAATAAGCGCTCTTGGAAATACTTAAAATTCTTGGCATTTTGCTTCATAATATACAGGAAATGTGCGAAGCAGTCGACTTAAAGAAGTTTATCGTATTAAGTAGATTTCCGCCACAATGAAAAATACTGCTGCACATCTATTTATGCAAATGACACTCTAAGTTTTATAAATAACACCAAACAGCAATAAAAATATAAATATTGATTTATACGACATTACGCACGTACCAGTCGTATTAACCGCTAACCTATGCTGTCAGGAGAGCTGGGTATTTTAATCATCGTTGTCAACATCACTCTTATTAAAAAACGTCAAGATCTTAGTCTTTCGTGGTAGTCTAGGTGAGATGTTTCATTGATGAGTGCAAAGATTCTTTGTGATCATCGAAAATTAAAACCATCTTTATACTGAAAAGATTGTTGCTTCCTGTTCCCTTCTGAATTCATATTCTCCCTTAAAGCTAAGATGGGGTCGAGTAGAAAATTCAATCTTTTTAAGTGAAAGAAATTCAAATGTATTTAAAATACGCGAAAAAAATAAATGAATAGTAAGTTTGAATATTGCCAAGTGATATCTATCCTCTTCTTGTTCTAATATTATAGCGAAATGAGCGGACCTCTTGACCATTAATCAATACTTCTTACTAGAAGTGTGCACGGAAGAAAAATTGCGTATTGACTTATACTATGATTAAAACAGAATTTAGGAGTATGTAAAATGGTATACGCCAGACGTACAGCTCTCACTGAACTGGAACTAATAAAATATGTTAAATAATTGGATTCGGTTTGTCCCCTATGGTTGCAGCTGTTCTTAGTCTTTATTTAGTGTGACGTAAGGCTTTAACTGAGCTATTCCACTCCAAGACAAACGGAATTCCCTAATATCATAAAAGCTATCATGTACCTTTATGATATAAACGGATTATTCCCTTCGAAAATGGCGCTCTTTGAACCTGAAATTAAGGAGTTTGTTGTTAGTTTTGGTTTTCAATGGGTTAAGCAACGATTTTTATAACGGTCAGTTAACGAACTGTCGTTAAATTTACCAGTTGCAGTCAGTCACGTTTTTGCGAGAAATAACCAATCACCTTAGCACATGCAGTGAAAGGCTAGGCCACTGTCAAATTTTTAAGCAAAACCAACTAATAACTATGTATATTACGTCTGCAAATACGTGTTAAAATTCGTCAAACATCTAAATAAAACGAAGGACGTGTAATGATTTCTAGCAGTTTCAGTTTTCCTTATTTATATTCCCCGAGTAGTCTCCATGGTAACACGCAGCAATTCCGAATGGTAATTTTCCATTTAAGTTCTTATGCGCAACATTCCTTTGAGCGGTCGATCGAGTTTTTCTTTCTGAGTTTTAGATAAGCTAGTAGCCTCAATCAATTAGGGATCGATACGGCTCAGGACAGCTTCACACCGTGGAGGTTGATTTTTCTGAATTAATTCATTCATATTCAGGGACCAAGTCCAGAATACTTTATGATTTTCTCTTCGATTCATCTGTGAAAAACTCCCGCTTAATTCAAGAAGTTTCCGTGCATGGTGAAAACTCAAAGATAATTAAACTAAATTTAAGGCAAAGGAGAGTCAAAAATAAGGAGTGAAGGAGTGCTGTGCTTGATTTTGACAACAAATATGCTATTGCATAATATCCAAATCATTTGGGGTTTTTCTAGTCACCTAAACGACACAGAAATGTTATGTTGATATTCTTGCATTGTGTTTATTCAGACAAAAAATACCCATTGTTCTCATCCAAAAATTGTTGTCACAATAAATTACATAGTTAATAAGTCAAAACTATTTCAAAGAACGAAATATGTTGGAACCAAGTAAAGAACAATAAAATAATTTGATTGGCTGTGTCTCTTAAATGGAAAGTATGTTCGTGTTTCTAAGATACCAGTCCTTGAGAAAACAATTTTTACTAAAAAACGAATGCAATTCAACAGGAAAACTTTGTGAATTCGCGTTTATTGTCCGAAAACAAAAGTAAGCAAATTGCGGGATTATTTACAAATTTTAGACATTATTTTACCAACGTTATTCTAGAAAAAGACATTTTAGCATTGATTAGCTTAACATCACTTTAAGTTTGCAAGTTTGATATCAAGCTTAGAGCTCCAGTACTTGGTTATATTAGCAATGAGCTATGTATAGTTTTTATAATATCAATAGGTCGTAAAAATTCTCACTAAGTAAACAGATGCTTTTTAGTGTTTATTCTATGGCTTAAAAACACGCTTTCGAAAGGAAGTAGATTTTAATTCGTGACTGTTATAAATGAAACCTGCAAAATTCATGCGCAGTTCAGTCAAATGTCCAGTTCGAAAGTATTAAAACGCTGCGGGTTCATTTGATGACGCACGAAATGCGAAATAGTTAAAAAAATTACCATACATCTGATGTGAACTGCCATTCACTTTCTCTACTACGGTTCAAGAATTTTTTTAGCATTTTAATGGCCGGGAATATCTGATGGTCTAAAAATTCACTTGAGAGCCTTTCGATAATTCTTTTGATTTGCCAAACGTGGTGAGGTTGTTGATGGCTCCCGATAGCTCACATCAGACCGGAGATCTCTAAACAAGCCATAAGGCACTTAACTGTTTAAAAATAGGCTTACTTTAACACAAGCGTGTACACTTCTGTCGCTTGTGATTTAGCTCCTGCATTCTCGAACTTCATAATGTATTCGTCTGACTATAGATGTGGTAAAACTGAACATTTTTTGATCAATCTCTGGCCCAGAAAGATGCCGCTAATCCGCATTTCATACTTTCCTTACTGAAAAGAATAACTATCTGAGATTAGTGTACCTTTGCCACTGAAAACATGATCGCGCGAGTTTTGTATAATTATTTTGTCTTTGATTTCAAAGTTAATATTACATACAAGCGCCTTACTGATGTCGGTTTCTGATGACCTGGTGAATCAAATATTTCGATCACGTGACCTTTCTTTTTTTTTTTGTTTTTGTTTTTTGTTTTCTTTTTTTCGACGCTGTATTTAAATCCATTGCCGGTTGTCCTTTGAACGAAACCTCGTCAGATAAAAATTAAAATTGATTTTGAAACAATGAAACTTGAGATAAAACGTGAATCCTAGGCGCATGGATAAGGCTAAGTAATGGAAAACTTGAGATGCTTCGATATGGGATCAGGCAGATTGCAGCCCTCGGCTGTAAATCCGGGATATTTCGTTCCCAGCGGTCGTGTCGCGCATGGTTTGTTCAGTGTGCGGGCGTGGTTGTGGTTGGTTGTTGCATTAAAAGCGAAGTCGAACGCTGTAACTTATTCGGAAAACCGGACAACGACCTTCATGGCGAAGTCGTAAGACATTTCAACACATGCTCCTTGGGTGAGAATCCTCCCAAGCATTCAGACGTGATTGTAAGGCTACTGTTTGTGGTTTGACGCAATTGCCGGACTTCGAGAGTTCCCACGAACGGTCGTGTCTTGTTGAGTGAAGCTTGAGCTAAAATTTTCGAACTCTAGAATATCAACATGGGTTGCACTTTGAGTGCCGAGGACAAGGCTGCTGTGGAGAGGAGTAAGATGATCGACAAAAATCTTCGGGCAGATGGGGAAAAGGCCGCCCGAGAGGTCAAACTTCTTCTGTTAGGTTAGTGATAGATTGTTCGGAAGTCGATCGAAGCGCACGGCTGATGAATTATATTTGGTTCCAACATGTCGAATGCGTGCGGTAGCCAATCTTTCCAACACGTTCTTGTGGTCGATGTATATGTTGTGTCGACTATCTGCCGTGTAGTTCGGTCGTCTTACAATTTTATCTCTTATAAGGAAAAGTTTCGTACGTGGAAATGAAATGGTTTGGGGTGGCAGTTTCAATACTAGCGCTTCGACTTTTGAGCTGAAAGATACTGAATGTGCTGTTAGTCAGCTGTTTTTTTTTTTGTCCCTAGCAACATTTTTTGATCGCATTTCTGTCTATGAATCATTACGTACCAAGGTTTTTGGCTTTTCTGGTTTTCCTATCGAAGAGGAATCGTAGTTGAGGCTTGTCCGCCATTGCAAACGAACTTGAGGGTCATATTATTAATTTTCCATCCAGAGTGAGAAATAAATTTGCTAGCATTATAGAACGTTCTCTTGCTGTTGTAGAAAGATTTCCATACATTTGTATAAAGCAAACGCTTCGTTTCTTGCCTCATAGTTGGGTTGAAATAACGGGGAAAAAAACCTTTTTAATGTTTTTTCGCCCGTCACTTATTGATCGTTCGTTTGAGCGCACTTAAGAAATAGCACCTTTATATTGCTGTCGCAAATAATGAAAAGAAACTGAAAATTTGCGAGACTCCCTTTTCTATTTCGCTGTATTTGTGATCCTGTTTAGCTAAGGGTTTTTGTGGGATTCAATGCCGAATGTGACTTAGAGTTCAA